AAAATATTTTACTTCACCCCCTCAAAGATAACCAGTTTATTTCTATTCAATGATCTAATATACCCTCATAATTTATATGGATATTTATGATCAATAGGAAGGCAATATTTTAGAAGCCTGATAATAATATTATTAGGCGATTGGTCAGCTTATATACACCCAGTAAAAGTTTAACTGCAGGTGTAGGTAAGTTATTCAATAAAACTTTGATCAACTCAATCTAGATAAACAACCAATGATCTAATACTTTCTATCAAAGTGATCTAGATATTATATATAGTGTGTAAGATAATATTCATAAGCAAGAGTTTGGGATAAGATCAATGTTAGGTGTATGTATATTGGTTAATAAGTAGGCTTATAATATTCCCTATACATGACCTCAATAACTATCCAGCCAGACATTAAGGCCAGTAAAAGTCTAGTCCTTGTTGCTGCATATAAACCAGTTACAAGTTATTGTGATACAATGTGCTTGTACTATAATAGCTTAACAGAGTACCCAAAATAAGCTGGCTAATATCCAAAACATGCAATTTAAGTCAATCTGGTTTTAAATAAACCCAATACTATTATATCTCAATGCAAGAATGGTTCATATTTCATAGAAAGAAAAAAAACAAATATATAATATGATAAAAATAAATTTTGTGTAAATATATTGATGAAATATATCATTAAAGATATAGAAATAAACATAAAGATTTTTTTTCATAATCATAACTGTTTATCTTCCTCAAAATTCAGAACCTAAGATAACTTAAAATTTGTTAATAGACATTAAAAAACTTGTTTTATATCTTATTCAATGTTCCTTGAGAAAATCTAATAAGCATAAAATATTTTGTTTACATTATTACCGCAAAACAGAAGAATTTTTAGTAGTTTTAGTAACACATGTAAACCAAATCCAGATATAAGTTGCCTCACAACAAAACACGCACTGGCAGTTATCGCGTGCAATCCAGCCTAACTGACATCGATTCGCGCCGTTCGGCAGATCGTGAGCTATTTTCGCCCAACGGTGAGGTATGAGATAAACAATTTGACCCGATACTATTTGTGTATCATACTAAAAACAGTTGAACCTACACTAGATCCCGTTAGCTAAGACGTAAAATAAAACTGTCATTGTACCATACTAGCTATCGTTCACAAAAACCCAATAGACGTGATATATTATATTATTGTCTTAGCTATAGATAAATACCGTATACTGTAGGCTACGTATTATTTTTTTTATCATCCGCTGTACAGGTGAATTTGAAGTTCACCTAACGGAGCAAAACAGGTGACATAAATAACTATACACAACACACCTATATGTTTAAAACTGCATTGACCTGGATAATAACCAAATAATAATATATATAACCCACGCAGCCTGTTGTTTTTTTTGTGAAACACTGTAGTGTTATACATTGTGTCAGTCTACAGTGTTATTTAAAGGGAATAACAGTTAACTAGCAGACGATATGTACAGAATGCCAGACAGTGTCAGACATTAACGGCACCATCAATAATGATTCTTATATGGATTTCGTGTTTAAAAACTAACAGGATTCCTACCTTGTCCTTTGATCTTTCGAGGCATTCCGTATACAGCCAGCAATATACCTTAATTTGTCACCAAACTCGAGATTCAGTGACCTCCATTTTGCACCATGAGTTGATATGGGTCATGTGATCGACGATAGGTATCAACTCATTGGTCGTTAGTTGAAGCAGGCATTTTGGCGGGAAAATTTTTTCCTAGGAAACAAGTAGGGCCTAACAGCTTGCTTAATAAATGATTTAACGCCCCATTCTTCTTCACTTATAATTAACTATCATTGTAGAAATAACACTGAAGTAGAATTTAATTGGAGCAGGGGCAGTGGGGGCGGGGGAGTGCGCTGATTTTGTATGAGGAACAAGATTTAGTGAAGGCATAAAACCCAATCTCTATATCGGGGGGGGGGGGGTCTCTCCAAGAGAAGGCATATCGAAGCCACGGCATATATTTGACACTAGTTTAGCAATATGATTATGAGGCATAGAATCATCCAATAGCGTTGACACCTGCATTGGAACCACATAATTTTTCCCATTTGAGAGGGGCAAAAGTATTTTAAAGTAGGCCAACTCAAAACTCTTCACGCAAAGCCCGCCATTACGACCCCTTTACTTTGCACCAACAGTACCTTTGCGAGTAGCACAAACGGTTGGGGGTGGGTGTAGGTCTTTAAAATCTTAGACACGGCGGGTGGTTAAGTGGTTATTTACAATTTACATGCTGTTCGAGAAGGGTGTTTTTTTTATTTAATACATATATTTATCCATCTACATTGGCTGTTGTTGTTAGGGGGATCCATTAAGAATTGCGGCCTGTAGGCGACACACAAAGAGAAAAATAGGCGTGGCTCTGCCCCTGGGGGTCGTGCATGCACCAAAGATTATAGGGATCATCTTTAGGGTATAAGGAATAAGTATGCAAAGTTTCAAGACAGTTAAGAATTGTGCTCCGGGGGTCGGGTATGCACCAAAAACAATAGGGATCGTCCTTAGGGTATAAGGAATAAGTATGCCCTGTAGGCGGCATACACACACACACACACACACACACACACACAGGGGTGACGGCAATATACGTGGGCGTATAAAAATGATATGGCACCGACTTTACATAAATCAAAAAACAAAATTAAAGAATAGTCCAAGCGACTATGACTCATAAATATATTTTGTACACACTTTCTTAATATATATATATCATCCATTTTTCATATATCCCTAATATTATGTCATTATGTATACCTTACATGCTGCCGGAAAAGGGTGTCTTATGTAATAAACACGCCCCCCCCCCCCTCTCTTTACATAAATCAAAAAACAAAATTAAAGAATAGTCCAAGCGACTACGACTCATAAATATATTTTGTACACACTTTCTTAATATATATATATATCATCCATTTTTCATATATCCCTAATATTATGTCATTATGTATACCTTACATGCTGCCGGAAAAGGGTGTCTTATGTAATAAACACGCCCCCCCCCCTCTCTCTCTCTCTCTCTCTCTGCTATGAAATTCAGTATTTATGTTTTCAATAAAGTTTTGTGTTTTATTATACCCGCACATTGAAATGTAGTAGTCCGTCGATCCATCCGTCTGGGGATAAGATGTTGGGTGACCGAATGGTTACCATGTGCGCTTTGCATCATAAAGTTTGTCATTGAGTCAAGTGGCATGGTTTCGATTCCCCGCTTGTAAGTGACAAGGAGTAGGGTCGCCTGTCCAACCTCGTGGGTTTTCTCCAGGTCCTCTGGTTTCCTCCCACTGCCAAAGACCCCTACGCGCAAGCGAATTAATGAAATAAGTTTGAACCATACTAGTCCCGAAATGACCTAGTTTGTGTTGAGTGGACGTTATACCCCATTTCTCTCTCTCTACATCCGTCGGCGTCCACAAGCGTCTAAGGTTAATATCCTATTGACTTCAAATTTATACACAGTGTTTAAGGTCATGAGATGAAGAATCCTATTGATTTTTATTATTATTTTAAAGGTGAGTAATAAAATCATTTTGATATTTGACAGGTAACCAGTGTAAATTATATCAAACAGGAGTTATGTGATCACATTTCTTAAAGAAACAGTCTAGCGGGAGTATTCTGTACTTTTTGAACTTTACCTGTAACCTAAAGGTAAACCAACTAAAAGTTAATTAAAAGTTGTCTAATCGAGAAGTGACCATAGATCTAACAAATGAATTATAGTGGCCTCTACAGTTAAAAATTTACGTATTTTTTCCTGTATTTCTGATATTAAAGTAGCACAGTTTTATTATCTACTTAATTGGGTTCCGATAAGCCTGGAATAATCAAAACTTGCGCCAATACGACGAGACGAAGAAACCTATTGCTTTTCACCAAATTCTATTTGTTTCTGATAATTACTTATCTGATAATTCGGTTGTTACGGTACGTGTAATCAGATTTTAGTGTGATGTAATGTTTTCATTATGGATAAACGAACAATTTTATTATGCGACAACCCTTGACCGGAGGAATTTAATGCTGTGGGAGTAGGCTAGCTACGAGAACGTAGCTAAAAACGTTGAGATAATATACTGATGTGTTTGTTTTTAGCTACGATTGGATGCCTTTATAGTTCCAAGTGGCAAACTCAATTTCTTTATTAATGCATGTAACATCTTTAAAATAGATAAGTTTATGATATTATGATTAATTAAACTTACAGAGGCCAATGTAGTGGCACAACTGTCGCCTAACTCCAAATATTCGCGTTTAAATTAATGAAGCGTTGTTTTTGTCTGACATTTCATCGCCATCGAAATCCATTCATAGTTACTGTGCTTTCGATTGTCCTTTTGATTGGCTGTTATAAAAGCCTTATATTTAGCCCCGCCTTCATGATGACAGCGTATCGTTTAAAAAGATGGCGGTCTAAGTAACGGCTTAACGCCTTGATTTTAAAAACGACGATTTGTACTCGTTTCAGGTAGGATTATATGCTTAATTGTAGTTGGGTGTTGTAGAAATATTATAAATAACAATAATCAATCGTTGTTTTGATTAAAACTATTGTCAATTTTGTTTAAAAATGCCGGGTGTGAATCGCTCCCGCAGCTGCAACGTTATAGTTTATAGCCTCAGTTCTTAACTCGAAACACGGAGGGTTGAGAGAGTAAGGTTTGTTATCTAGGAGTAGGCCTATGTTTCGTTACCCGACAGCATATCTTAATTTGATGGTACCACCTGTGGTGGAGTGAATGTATTTGTCTTTGATATTACGTCGTATATTAAGTTGTTTCACAATACACAATGTGACTTTATCTGTTACTGCCAGTAGGTGGGTCATTTCTCTCGGGATCAGAACTTACCTGGTCACCGTTCATTATAAGTTTCCGCCCGGTTAGGTCTAATTGATAAGGTCAACTTCAGGTTTGGTCAAAGGTCACGAGATGTAAACAGGGCTAGCGCTAATTCCAACTCTAACCCCGGACCAAGCGTAATGCTTACCCTAGCCTACAATCTCGCCAACAATCACGTGCCCAACCCTATTTCATCTCCGCGACCTTGACGAAAATTGAGTTGGCCATAACAAATAGATTTAGCCGTTGCCGCCGATAATGCACACAACAGGGAAAGTTCTGTCACTTTCTTTATGACCTAACCCGTATTTTAAACCCTACTTAAGCTTGGATTGAAATGAAAGGTTGACCTAAAACGTAAACAAGATAATTAGAAACGTAATTGGGGGATATTTATGTTTGTCAGTTTATATCTGAGAAAGAAGCTAACACACACACACCGCAGGTATGTATAAAAGACAAGTTAGTGCCACAACACAGCTCCAGGCGATGACAATGATATATTTATTGATTTATTTATTTATTAAAATTAAGGCCCAACAAAGTAGAAAATGAAATGGTGTTTTAATATTATACTTTCTGTCATGTCATGATTAGATACATCAGGTTATCTGTTGTTTTATGATGTTATTGTTAATTGGCATAGATAGAAACTAGAAAGTTCCTCAGGATTTTCCAGCATGGTTTCCTAATTATTGGTGTAGGATGGAGAGTGCAGCAAGGATCATTCAGGCTCGTCTTTTGAATGTGATGAACATCCAGGCCCCATATACTTGGGCAGAAGAACCCTTGAGTCTTGACAGTTGAAATTTGATGAATAGTAGGCAGAGCTATATATAGAACGATTTACCCAAATCCAACATTATTTCAACTTGTATAATAAGAAATATATATATTGATTAATTGATAATAATTATTATACCGTTCTTTATGCCAAATTGTCATTTTTAATTTACAATTGTAATGTTTTGGCTTCAAAATGTCCCTCAGAATGCGTTTTCCAAGCAAGTTTGGAAGTTGTAACCAGGGGTGGCACAATCGCTTAATTGGAAATTGCTTATTGAAGGACATTTTAAAACAACTGTCACTCTTGCCCCCCCCCCCCACCCTCCAAGCTATAGGCCTGATTTTGAATTAAAAATGACAATTTGGCATAAAGAACAAAATATTATTATCAAATACATCAATTATTATTATATGAGTTGAAATAATGGTAAATTTGGGTAAATTGTTTTAATGCAAAATAGTTGACAGTTTTGTATTGATCATGAGGTACAAGTTCAGCTTCATGTGGCAATTAGTTCATTGCATTTTAGATTGTCAGTTCTAGGTATAGTGCATTTGCATGTAAGCAATTGTTAATTTATCTGGTAACTAGATTTTGTAACACCAGGGCGGGTCCCGGTTTATGTCAGATAAGTGTAATAAAAATATTAAAGAGATATACTGGTACCCCAAATATGACCGATTTTTCTTTTGATAGAGATACCAATATTGATACCATTACAAGATTTAGAATCTACCCAGGACTTCGTTCTAAAAATTCAACCTCCTCCGGGTCCTCCGGTTTCCTCCCACTGCTAAAGACCCCTATGCATAAGCGAATTATTGAAATAAAATTAAACCATATGTTAGTCCCGAAATGACCTAGTCTGTGTCGAGTGAATGTTAAATCCCATATCTCTCTCTCTCTCTCTCTCTCTTATTCTAAAAGTAGCATAATTACACAGTGACTTGTCAATGCTATAAAATAAAATCGGGAAAATTTGTATGTGATTTTAAACTGTAAAGTGCTTGTTAAAAAAAACTCTCCCCAATCGATCGCTATATATCTAGTCAAAATATAATACTACTATCATTATATACAAAATTGTTGTATCTTTCAGGCGGTATGAGTGCAAGTGGAAATACAGGGCCAGAGCCCCCACCACCATCTTATGATGAAGCAATGAATATACCTCAAACCTATCCTGGTGGCACCAGTCCATACCCCCCTCAACAACCCCAATACCCTCCTCATCAGCAGCCATACCCTCCTCAAGCATCAGCCCCTCATCAAGCATCAGCCCCATACCCTCCAGCTCAAACTCCCATGGTTCACCCTGTTGCCTATGGTAACCCTAATACTCCTGCAGCAAACCAGGCACAATATGGAGGCAACTCGTATGGTGTACCCACAGCAAATTACTCAACACAATATGGAGTTCCAGCACAAAATACACAGGCCTATCCTGTACCCGGTACAGCGGGTTATAACACAACACCATTGGTGAGACAAATCATTTAAAAATATTCTTTTACATATCTTATTTCATTCAGAACCCAAACTTACAATCTGATTAAAACACAGATCCTATTTCGGTTTGTTTTTTTATAGTTAAAATTTTGTTTTGTGTTTACTACACTAGGATCTGGAAGAGTTGTTATATTACCTGCGTTTTAGTTGAAGTGAGGGATAAGCCAATGAAACAGTCTGTTACAGCGACGTCTTGACATGCCAAGCACGGAACTATGGGTATACCACTAGAAACGTCAACGCTGATTGATTAATCAATGTCTGACGTCATAGGGTCAAAAGCTTCGAGTACAACTTGTCAGACCTTCATGTAGTGTAGGCCATTGAAAGTATAAAAAAACGAAACAAAATATAGATCTGTATTTTAATCAGATTGCCAAATTTATGTCTATTGGAGGCTGGTTATTGTCAACACACCATTTCGAACACTATAAATCTACTTCTAATTGTGATAGAATGTTCAAAGTTGGTGTAGGTTTTAATCAGATTGGTTCTGAAGCTGAATGTATTGACTGAGTTCAATTATGAGAGATAAACAGTGTGATCTGTCTATGCTTGTAAGACAATAACTCTTATTTTATTTGATCGAGAGTGGTGAAACTTGTGTATAGTTTCTTGACATCGACACCTTGACAGTCGATAGAGAGCACTGTCTGATTTGTTTCAGCACAGTAATAATCAATTTCATTGCTTGATGCTTTTTTAAAGATAAATGTACAAGTAATTAATGAGTTTCGTTTATTTATTATATGCGGTTTAGCCGGGGGACATCAGCTCGTTGTTAGCTTGTTATTAATAATAAAAAATGTATTAATTTTCTTTATTGAATCTTGTTTTTTATTTAACAGGCATATGGTCATCAGGGAAATATGAGCGTGGACCAGAATAAAAAGAAGATCATTGTGATATGTGTCTTTGTTGTATTTGCTATTGTAGTGCTGATAATTATTTTTAATACTGCTTTTAGTCTGAGCTGAATGGTCTGTGTTGAACCAAAATGAACTTACTACATTATTTATAATTATATGCCCATGTTTAATGTGGACGGATATTGTCATCACCTGTGTCTATCCACTATTGCTAGATTCACCATTTCTCTTATGAATTTTATGGTATGATCCTGATGTCTTATTGAGATCTTGAACATGGTCAGATTTGATTGTAATTCGCAAGAGTTATTTCCCTTCAAAAATAGCCTGTGAACTAAGAAGAATATGATTTTAGTGAAACTTGGATGACATCTTGTATGGGTTTAACTAACCCGGGACATTTCCTCTGCTAATCTAATTTTAATGAAACTTTGAATGTTGTCTAAAGTTGTCTCATATCTATGTGATCTTAGACCATTTTCAATTTAAATGTGACTTGTCCATTATTCACTGTGTTATCGTCCTTGACTTGACCAAATATAGGTTGTTTACATATTTCATTTGAATTTGAGGAAATTCCGTATGTTATTTAATACCTATGAAATCTCAGATAAGCTTGAATTTGAATTGGAGAAAATAGCTTTTTATTCAACTTTGTTGATGTAACTTATGACTTGATTTATATACATGATATCTCAAATTCAAATTTAATGGGATTTTTATATAGAAAATTAGTAGTTGCCTCTAACTAAGTGGATATGCATCAAATATAACTGCTTTTCATCCATATCACCTTTCTCTAATTTTCTTGAAGTAACCGATGTTGTTAATGTTTATATTTACCCGAAAAGTGGATGTATCTGCTTTTTTTTGAAAAATCGTAATATTTTAGCAGTGTTAATGACTTCATCATAATCCTCTTTCTTAGTTTGATTTAGCTTTTTCATAAGAGAGGAATGTCTTCTCTGCTTATTGGATTAAAAATGTCTGTAATAAAAATAAATATTCTGAGAAAAAAGTACATAAATATTTCCTCTGTTAATATTTTATATTTTATAACCTACGTAATGTCTCTATTTATAGCCTACTAGTTTTTTTGCATCAGTTGAGTTTTCCAATGCTTCTGAGTATAACAGGAAGTAATAATTGTCTGAAACTTGAAATAGTATAACTCTGAAAGCGATAATGCAACACCACCAAATCTGTGTCATTTCCCAACTCAAGCTGCCTTTATACCCCAGCCTTAATGTAGCCATCAACCCTAAACAACAGTCACAAATACATGTATAATATGTATATAGTTGATAAATAATCTAAATTATATTTTAAAATATCAGTATATAATCTTTTTTATGTACTGTTCAAATATGCATATTACTAAATAATGGGTTAAGATACCGGTTCATTATTTTTTGTACTTGCTATTCCATTATGCATATATTGTTTGTACATTAGCATTGGTTGTGACATAATATTAGCAATATATATTTTTATACTATAGCTACATGCCTGAATTAAGATCTTTATAATCCATGAATATTCCACGGTTTTATCCTTTTCTGTTGTTGTGAAATTAATTTTATTGTTTGTATAATATTCATTCAAATATTTGATATTTGTTAAATTTTCTTTAAAATTGTTTTTAGTCATATTTTTTTTTTATACGGTAATTACTAATTATTTACAATCTTGTTATATTATTAACTCAAATTTATATTTATGTGGATATTAATATATTTTTACCTTTATTGTTATACGCTCACATTTTCATGTGGACGTATATTGTCGTTGCCCCTGTCTGTGCGTCCGTCCGTTCACATTTTTTTTGTGGACACTCTACAGGTCACAATTTTGACGAAACTTGAAATATAGGTTTATCTCTCAATGATCTCAGTGCCTGTCGATAATTATGCATATTGGACCGTAACTTGCTGGATTATGGCCCCTGATTGTACGAAAAATCAGTTTTGAGCTTGTTGGCTTGAGATCACAATTTTTATCTAATTTTGATGAAATTTGAAGTGTATGTTTATAACCCAAAGATTGCTGTTCCTTTCAATATTCGCACATATTAGACTGTAACTTCCTGGAATATTGCCCCAGATGGTTGAGTTCGAATTTCGTGAAAATCAGACTGGAACTGTCCGATGCTTGTACGCAAATAATGTAAAAGTGTGTATCGGTAATACCAAGGTTGTGGACCTTCTAAAGTTCACAATCTTTTTGCAATTATGATGAAACTGAAAATATATGTTTTTATTCCAAAGATCTCGGCTCCTTTTGATACTTGTAAGTACCTTCTGAATTATGGCCCCTGATTTGTACTAAAAATTGCTTTTTTTTGTTTAGCTTGTTTTCTGTCCATCTCTTGCAAATTGTGGGCAGATCTTGCATGGCAACCATTGGTTTTTATTAGTAAGCCTGGTAGCAACAAGTATTTTAATAAAGTTTTTATTTTGGATCCTCTGATGTCCTGTTATGCATTATAATTTGACAGCAGCATTTTAAGTAATATCTAAATGCAGGCTAGGAAATCTTTAATTTTAATACAGGAACATGGTGACAGACAGACAAACCCCATTTTAATAGTCCCCTGCTTCATTCGAAAGGCGGGGAACAATTATCGAAACCTCCAACTAAGAATGAAATAAGGAATTAAACTTTGCTCCACGAAAACCAGAATTTATGAAACTAATTCCATACTTTCAGGAGAAAGGTCGCGAATCTGTTTTTCGGTCGCCTTTGATTATCTTCAGATTTTGACACCCACAAATGAATGCCATGATGTCATGTAACATTGTCTGCATTTCAGATGGAACACTAGATCTGAAATTATAATATAAAGTTCTGTATGTCAATTTCAAGCCCATTCTCAAAATATCCATTATAAAACATCCATTCGCACTATTTTCTTCCAATGTTGTTGAATCTGTGTTTTTCACATTAATAGATTGCCATGTCTGCATAATTAAAGATTATACACAGTGCGTCATTAATTTTTGAAATATTTTAACATAAAAAGTCATTCGCATTATTTTATTCAAAATCCAATGTTGATGGCAAGGCTAAGACAATATAAACATCATTATAATAACTAACGAGAACGGAAACTAAAAAATAATAAGATCTAAATTTCATAAGTTTGGGGACTATTTCATTGCGGTATGAAAATAGCTAGACGCCGTGCAAAATGAAAACACCAGAAAGCACAGTACTGTCATCACTTTAATTATCTAATATATTGCACAGTAATGTCCTAAAATACCAATAACGTCAGCGTTAAAGACTCTTTGTAACACGTGTTGTGGACTAATGAATAAGTGTGTTTAATTAATCATACGTCATGACAAGGAGAGAAGACGTTTCAGCCACAGGTTTGTCTTCAGAATCAAAGTGTGAATTGCACACATCGAATTTTTATTCTAGTTTCGCAATTAGTATTACTCTCAACACTTATAATGTAGGCCTACAACACACACCAGAATATCTAGAACTTTTGGCTAAGGCTGTCGATCGTTTAGCATACCAACGTGAGCTAAAAAGACACTTCAGAATTGTCTGGGAAGAGCATGATTTTATTTTTATGCAGTAAAAATAATCAGATTATATTATAGGCCTATATATACGTCTAATCCCCTAACCAGGAAGTAGGTCTACCAATATTTTATTCATTGGAAAAATATTGAACAGCCAAGGCCTAGTCATTCTGATGGGCCCAAAACTTCGCAGAAACACCACTGTCTGAGCAAAATTCTACCCCCTTGTAAAATATATAGGCCCTACCAGTAGCCTAGTGGCAATATATAGGGCTTATTGATAGTCTTAAACTGACAAGTTATAATTGTGTTGACAATTAGGCCTACATTCTATTGGTCAGATTTTGTACTTATATTTACCTCTCATTGTACATACTAGTAGACCCTACTGAAAACAATTTTTCAAATGTTCCACACAAACGAAAAAAGTTACCGGTACCTTTTTGAAAACAAGCATGACGCCATCACAGCCATCTTTGAATTGTAACATCAAAGTATGTCAGTTGATGTCAAAAAACAGTTGAGACAAAATTCATATCTATCGAACAGGCAGGGCTTTAGCCTAGTTTTTAAAGATTTCCAAACCCAATTGTCTGCAGGTGTTTAAATTTGGAAAGTCTGTACATACTACGTAGAGCCTTAGAGAATGGAATAAATATATAACAAATGTATTACAAAATATAATATAGTGTAATGTGGTTGTATCTTTCAGGTGGCACAAGTGGAAATGGAAATACAGGGTCAGAACCCCCTCCACCATCTTATGATGAAGCTATGAATTTACCTCAGACCTATCCCCCTCAACAACTCCCTTATCTTGCTCAACAACCCTCAGCCCCATACCCTCCTCAACATCCTACACAACCATCAGCCCCATGCAATGAAGAACTTCCGTACCCATCTCAACCACCTGTTATCTATCCACCTCAGCAACTGCCGTACCCCACCCACCCTACCTACCCCAACACTCCTACTGGAGCACCTGTCGTTTATCCTGTTGCTTATGCAAGCCCTGGCAATCCTGGTTATCCATATGGAAACCCTGTTGTTCCTGGCAACCCTAATTATCCTTATGGGAATCCTGTTGTTTCTGGCAACACAAGTAATCCTCCTGGTACACAAGTTTACAGCAATACACCATTGGTAAGATTGCTCATTAAACTAATAAAAATAAACATTGTTTATACACAACCCCGGGATCTAAGCATGGACCAGTAAGGACAGCATGCATATACACTTCCATTTAAACCGTAATTTCATCATTAATATTTTTATACACCTATATTTTCATGTGGACGAATTATGTTGTCTCCGCTGTTGGTCCTCTACTGGCTCTACAGATCACAGTTTGTATCCGATTGTTATAAACTTAAAATATATGTTTATGTGATATAAACTCTTGAAATATCTCAGTTCTTTTCCACATTGGACATTGGAATGTATCAGATGGTATACACTTTTATTTTTATGTTGTCTCCCTCGTGGGTTTGTTCACATTTGTTTGTGGACACTCTCTACAGATCACAATTTTTTATCTGATTTTGACGAAACTTAAAATATATATGTTCATATCACAAATATCTGGGTTCTTTTCGATCTAGGCTCGTATCAGAGTGTAATTTCGTGGAATATTGCCTCTGTTTGTTTGAAAATCATGTTTTTAGCTTCTGGACCATCTAGAGGTCACAATTTTTATCTGATTTTGATGAAACTTAAAATATTTTATCCTAATGATCTCAGTTCCTTTCGTTATTTATGCATATTTGATATTGTCCAGAAAATGCAAATGACGCACCGAGAATTTATCATTTATTGCATCATATGACATTTTATTGCCACTAATTCTTATGATGATTTATTTTTGGACAGGTGATGAACAATACTGGTCCGTTGAGTGCTTCGCAAACTGCCATGCTCCACAGAAAAAAGAAACTTATCCTGTTTAGTTTTTTTGTCATAATTTGTGTTATTGTTGTAATAATAATCTTATTCTAAACTGAATGGAACATACTAAAGATGGCAACAAAATAACTTATTGTGAATTTATGGAAGATCGACAGGGCTTTAATACAACACTATACCCAAGCACTAATCTGTACAGGCCATTGAATTTTACAGTTATATGTTGTGGTGGATCTAGAACAATTGGTTAGGTGGGTACCTTCGAGAAAAGTTTGCAAATTTGGGTTGTCTGTGGTGATTTGTGCCACATATCTGGACTTTAATAAAATATTCAGTTTCATTCAGCTACAACCTCACTATACTGCAACCAACATAAAGCTCAAGTTTACATGTTTCATAGAAACAGAATAATAAGTTATTTTTTTATAATTTTATTTGGGAGTGGGGGGTTTGGGTAGTGGGCCGTAAAGTGGTAGAGATCGATTATAGCCATGCTAGTTCTACCAGGTGTAAATTGAACCCATGGTATGGACCATATATAGCCTTATTGTGCAACGACGCTTATATAAAATGATACTTATACAAATTGGTTGGACAATATAGGCTAGACATACATCTAGTGTAGACTATATAGACCCTTACCTTATGGACACACTTATATAAAATGATTGTGGAATATATAGGGCAGAACATGTAACGGACACTTATGCATGAAATTAGTACAAAATGTGTCATGGAATGGAGTCTTATATTGTGCACAATTATTATAACTGAAGATACTGTCACAAAATTTGTACATTTTAAAATGAGAATCAGATATAGCAATGATAGTCAGTTACTAATGTTTAAAGGACAACATTGGTGCCAGTCATTATCACATATGTGATAGAGCTGGTTAAACACATTCCAAATATAATTTTATCTCAGAGATCATTGCTACGATAGCTGAGTAATACAGTTTTTCTGAATCGGAAGTGACGAACGCCAAAGGAAAACACGAGTCGCCTCTCTATATAACTGACTGATGTGACGAATGATAACGGATATACGGGTGAATTTCTGCTCACTAATAATTCCTTCGGAGACCAAAAGTTGTTATATGGGACTGTAAGAGGATACCTGACAATTCAATAAAGTAATTGAATGTCATTAGATAAGAGAACACGAGAAAAATAGAAATAGTCCGTACATTCCCTTGTTTATATTCATTCTATACCTTATAAAAACATGGTAATGCACAGACTTTTTCTGTTTTTCTTTCGTGTTCACTTATCTAGTGACAGTCAATTCTTTTTATGAATTGTCAGATATCCTTTCATAGTCTCACACAACAACTTTTGGTCTTGGAAGGAATTATTAGTGAGCAGAAATTCGCCTGTATATCCGTTATCATTCTTCACATCAGTCAGTTATATAGAGAGGCGACTCGTGTTTTCCTTTGGCGTTCGTCACTTCCGATTCAGAAAAACTGTATTACTCAGCTATCGTAGCAATGATCTCTGACATAAAATTATATTTGGAATGTGTTTAACCAGCTCTATCACATATGTGATAATGACTGGCGCCAATATTGTCCTTTAAGCTTGAATGTGCAATATAGTTGTGCAATCTAATATTTCTCCTAAATGCATAATATTATGCATTTTATAACCTTATATACCTGCATGAAATGTGAATGTATATTATTATCACCATGTGAGTTGGTTCATCTGTATACATAATTTATATATGTTGTTTACATTAATTAGATGAAGAAACCTATCGAATTTTAGAGTTATTACCTTTGCAAGCTCTTTAGTGTCCTGATCATTGTGTAGACTCTTGTGAAAGCTTGAGTAACAAAATTTATTATCCGATCTAGAAATTTATAAGTATTGTTCACATTAGTGTGCCGAAGAAGCGTGTTGAATTTAAAAAATTCTGTGTGTTTATTATTTCTAAAGTTATCTACCTTGCTCACTTTGTAGAATCTCGTTAAAGCTTTATCAACAACATTATCTTCCGATCTGCTTCTAATTTTTATTCATTTATTGTTGAGATTAAGTAAACGGAAGAATCTTATTACATTTATTATCCTTCAAGTGCTCTTATATAATTATTTTAGTTTTTTGTCTTGATTATTGTATATATGTACACGTTTTGATTTTTTAAAAATATATTATGACATTTTTAATTTTTAAAAAATTGTCCTTTCTTTTTCAAAAGTATTTTATTAAGCCAGATTGATATTAACTGTTTTATATACTCATTATAATGTAAACCTTTCAGATTTAGGTCAAAATAAAGTCTTGATTTGTGTTGATCTGTTATTCCAGTAATTATCTTAAACTTTAAGTTCTGATGCACCATTTTAGTGCTATAGATCATACAACATTGTAAAAGTTGGATCTCTATTAGGAATATCAGTTCCAATATGGTTCATTTCTGGTCACTATTTACAAAGATATATGGAATTGAAACTTATTGATCTTTTCTGCTTTGCTTTGTAATAAGCCTGCCACCATTTTGTTGTCTGCGAAAATTTATTGGTAGACCTGTTTTAAATCCGATTGAATCCAAGCCAGGACATTATCTAGCTTTAGTATTTTGATATTATTTCCTTAATTAAGTAATCAAACTGGGTACATTTTAACAGCTAAGCAGTTGGGAATTTGATATTTTCGCGAAAACTGCAAATGGCGTATCGTTACTTTAAGTAATCAACTTGAAAGTACAATTTTCTTTTTAAAGCGAGAATTTCATATTTTTTAGTTATATTTTTAAAATGTATTAAAATAAAGCCTTAAAATAGATGGTATCTATAAACAGTCCTACCTTGTTAAAGAATAATCCTATACTTCAATACTATCAGTTGAGAAATTGGCAAAAATATCATTTTCAACTTCAAACGTTTGAAGATAGCTATTCCATGGGGGGCAGGTAATTGTGTTATTATTTCCGGTGTGAATGGTTTTTAAGTGTGAGAATGATACCTATGATCGTATAGTAGTGAGTTGACAACCTATTAAGCAAAAGACATAGAAATAATTATGTTTTGACTTTCTTAGAAAATATGAAATTCTCGCTTTAATCTAGAGACCCTTGGTGGCTGAGTGAGTGAGGAGTTGGCTCACTAACCAGAAGGTCTGATCCCAGTGTTAACAGAGAAAGTTCGCCAGGGTTTTCTGGCGTGGTTCACCCTTATCAGAGGCCATCGTGCCAAGGGACAATGTATAGTCTTTCAGATTGGGGTAAACCATAGAACTACGTCAAAGAACCCATGATTCAAAATAAGAATCAGACGTAGGACCGCTGTCCAGGAAAAGTTTCCCTCATAGCACGCTGCTATGACGTACGCAGTCTTCATCAGCAAAGTCTGCACAGAACAGTAGAATATTTTAACATTTTAAAAGCCCATTTCATTTCATTCTAATCTAAAGCATGCCCTTAACATCAAGGCGAATCCTATTCAATTTAAAGAGTTAACCGCGCAAACCCCTACGACTTAAAGGATACTTCCTTTAAAGATACCTTCCCAGTTACAAACTGGGTGACTTGATGATATATTTGAACTAAAAACATATTCAAACTAATTAACCCATCAAAACTTTGTTTCAAATCCAGATCAAAACATTGTATTCGTGAGGAAATATCCCAAGCTAAGAAAATCTATTAAAAGAAGTCACGTAAAGGGTGCGAAGCCGAAGGATAATTCATTGCATATAAAAGACAATGTTGTCTTTAATCGTCTCCATTTATCATTTAGATTTAATCGTTTTGACACCCAAATATAGTCGTTTAATACACAAATCGTTTATTCGTTTTAATACACAAATCAAGCACTGCAGACGATGGTGATTTCCTATGATGCTGAAACTGGACAAACTAGAGGTCACAAATTTTATCCGATTTTGATGAAACTTACAGTGTCTACAACCCAAAGGTCTCGGTTCCTGTCGATATTGGCGCATATCGGACCGTAACTTCTTGGATTATGGCCCCTGATTGTACGAAAAATCACACTTTTAGCTTGTGGGCTTTCTAGGGGTCACAATTTTTATTGATTGTAAAAACCGTTCAAATTTACCACAGTTCGAATTCAGAGTTCAAATGGCCGCTCCCCTTTACCCAAATATTGTAAAAGCAGATAATACCCAGGGCGACCTTCGGATGGAAACTGTGGTCACGACTACGGTCTGAACAAGCACCCGAATGCAAATGGCCGGACCATTGGCTATTCAATATATCTGCGCCCATGTCAGTTGTTTCGCCTGCTATATTTTCTGCTATTTACTCATTTTTAAAACTATATTTCGATGATTGGGATGAAGAAATTCTTTTAAAACATTTTCTTACAACGCTGACTCCATCCGGGTTAACTGGTAACATGGATCATTTCACAAAGGTTTTTGTCCTGGGTGTTACCATGAACCCTGAAATACGTTCCATGGTGTAAATAACGCATTGGCAATTTTATGATATTTTCCAGACAAATCTACACCTTAAAAGGGCTGATTCTTGTTATAATTACTGTGTTGTCATTGTTTAAAGATTTGACAAGATGTGTGCATTGATTGTTTATTACCGTGACCACTGCACTGGTATATACGAGCCTTAGCCTCAATTCACCATCATTAAATGGCCGAACCGTTTTTATGTGGTAAAAATCTCGAGCATCCGGTAACATCAAGAGTTGATGATATTCTTGTCATGTTAATAAATGTCTAGTTAATAATTTATATAACATTTGAGGCCAAAAGAAAGATCTGTAATAGGCATATTTAATAATTTATATAACATTTGAGGCCAAAAGAAAGATCTGCAATAGGCATATTTAATGATTTATATAACATTTGAGGCCAAAAGAAAAATCTGCAATAGGCATATTTAATGATTTATATAACATTTGAGGCCAAAAGAAAGACCTGCAATAGGCATTTTTAATGATTTATATAACATTTGAGGCCAAAAGAATGACCTGCAATAGAATGTAGCTCTTGAATAATGCCCCTTTAAGCCTCTGTTAGTAAATGTATGTACATGTTGATGTGCATGTTTTACAGACATATGCATGGGCCTATACATGTAAATATAGTTGTTTCTTTTTTTGTTGTTGTTGTTTATTTTTTTATTAGCCATTGTCATTATGTTCATCATGTATGTAATGTTTTGTTTATATTTGTATGTTGCCTCTAATCGGGTGTTTAGATACAATACCAGCGGCTGCCAGGCAGGATACGCCCACATTTTCGACAGATGGAAAGAAAGCGATTTTTCCTGCAATCAAGGGCCATAATTCAGGAAATTACAATTCGATATGCGCGAATATTAAAAGGAACCGAGATCTTTGTGTTATAAACTTACATTTCAAGTTTCATCAAAATCGGATAAAAATTGTGACCTCTATAGGGTCCACAACCTTGATATACCATATTTTTATGCTATTTGAGAACGAAGGGCGGCCATTTTGTCTGTTAGTTTTGGGCTGATTTTCACGAAATTCGAACTCAGTCGTCCTTAGGGTGTAACGGTGATATAAAAATACGGTTTTTTAAATCGGATAAAAATTATGACCTCTATAGGGTCCACAAGCTAAAAACGCGATTTTTCATACAATCAGGGGCCATAATTCAGCAAGTTAGGTTGCGATATGCACGAATATCGAAAGGAACCGAGATCTTTGGGTTATAAACTTACATGTCAAGTTTCAACAAAATCGGATAAAAATTGTGACCTCTATAAGGTCCACAACCTTGATATACCATATTTTTACGCTATTTGAGAACGAACGGCGGCCATTTTGTCTGTCAGTTTTGGGCCGATTTTCACTAAATTCGAACTCAGCTTACTTAGGGTTTAACGGTGATATAATAATACGGTTTTTAAAATCGGATAAAAATTATGACCTCTATAGGATCCACAAGCTAAAAACGCGATTTTTCGTACAATCAGGGCCCACAACTCATGAAGTTACGGTCCGATATGCGCAAATATCGAATGGAACCGAGATCTTTGGGTTATAATCATACATTTCAAGTTTAAACTAAATCGGATAAAAATTGTGACCTCTACGGTGTTCACAAGCTAAAAACGTGATTTTTCGTACCACCAGGGGCCATAATCCATGAAGTTACAGTCCGACACATGCCAATATCAAAAGGAACTGAGATCTTAGGGTGATAAACCTATTTCAAGTTTCATTGAAATCGGATAAAAATTGGAGGGTCTAGAGCACAAGTGATCTAACTACCAACCATTTTAGTTGGTTGTTAGATCACTTGTGCTCTAGACCCTCCAATTGTGACCTGCAGACTGTTCATAAACAATTGTGGACGGACGGACGGACAGGGGCGACGACAATATACGTCCACATGAAAATGTGGGCGTATAAAAAACTAAGATGGTAAGTAAAATAAATCTAGAACAAATAAAAATAAGTGGGGGTGCCCAAGTTCAGATTTTGTCGTTGATACCGTGTGGTTGAAAAGTTTTTGATCTAATAATCCAATGTAATTCAATTGTGCGTCTGTTGGTTGTGGAAGTGTATAACTCAGGGTCTGAGCCCAGTTGTTTAATTATTTGGTAGTCAAGGTCTCGACTAGAATGTCTCGGTAAGTTGAAGTGAGAGGCGAGTGGGGTGTCTCTCTTGTGGGTAATGTCAGCAAAGTGTTCTTTCAGCCTAACGCGGAACAATCTTTTCGTTTCACCTGTGTACTGCTTATGGCAGAGCCTACATGTGAGAAGGTAGATGACATTCTTACTATGGCAAGTCCACTGGTTGTGGCATTTGTACGTTTTGCCGGTTTGGGTCGATCGGAAGGTGGTTTTAAGTTGGAGTGTATGGCAATATAGACAGTTAGGTGAGTTACATATAGAGTCTAAATAAGCAAGGCTTTTCCCACTAACTTGAGGTTTATGTATGGGATTTTTGATAGTTGCTGAAGTTAATAGATCTTTTAGCGAGGGGTTGCGTCTAAAGGCGGTGAGGCAAGGTAAGGGGAATGCTTTGAGGCAGTCCTGGGAGCTATGGAGAATATGCCAGTTGTCCTTAATGATTTTGCTGATATGTACCGAAGTGGGGTTGAAATTCGTAATGAACACTGGACGTTTCTGAGTGTCGGCGGTGATTTTGTTTCTGAGGAGGTTTATCCTCTGGATTGAATCGGCTTTGTTTCTATTGGTTTTAATAATATCTCTAGGGTAACCCCGTTGGAGATAGTAATGTTCCAGTTTGTCAGCATGTTTGATATAATCAGAGTTGTATGTGCAGATACGTTTGATTCTTAGAAATTGGCTGTACGGTCCCTTACGTTTGATGTGTGACGGATGACAAGAGGTGTAGGATAGGTAAGAGTGTGTGTCTGTGGGTTTACAGTATAGGTCAAAGGAAAGTTTCTTAGTTTCACCGTTAAAGCTTACCATAGTGTCTAGGAAAGGCACTTTAAGAGTGGAGTATTCAGCTGTGAACTTGATAGTTTTGTGAAAGGTGTCTGAAGAGTTCAATACGAACGAAACTAGTAACTTAAAAAACCAGGGATAACTAGTAGATCGCCCTTTTCTTTCTAAAATAAATCTATTTTATTTGTTCATTTGATATGTATATAGTCATTGATATAAGTTGATAAGAAATATATACCTTTACCGATACCTTTGTTGCTATGGACGGGTATACTGCACGTCTCTATATTAAAGATCATATGGCAAGTGGGTATCAAAATTAATAATGTTCGCTTTTAGCGCTAGTCAGATGATCGGTGAAAATATATAAAATAATAGAAAAGAAATATGTTTTAAAAAAAGCCTCTTATTAAAATATGTAAATTGTTAATATTATAAACATTATTACGACTAAAATTAATAAAATTTTATGGGTAAATATTTAAACATCTTTTATGTACAAAAATAATATTAATGGCCTGCCGCCCCCCCCCCCCCCATTTTGGGCACCAAATGCTGGGAAAATTTGGGCACCCAGTTGTATAAAAAAATATTGTGTTCTTGAATGTGTCCAATTTAACAGCGAATTTATTATTATTATGTAACATATTATGTAACATATTATGTAACATACTAAGAACCTAACGCCTATGCCTAAAAATGAAATGTACATGCAAATCACTGTTATACCTTGATCCAGGAAGATGCGTTATATTTTGAAAACATTGATTATAGCAATTTTTCTTTTATGTTCACAATGAATTTAATATCTCTCTAAACATTCACATAAATAAAGATGGTTATAATAATTAGGGTTTTGCGCGTGTGTGTGCTCGATCGGTTGATAATTTTTTTAGATTTTATCAAAGTAGTCTGAAACTTTTTTAATCGTTGTTTTACAGTTGGTGACTCTAGGCTTTTTATTCTCACCAACTTTCTCGCTAAATAACAAATCAATTCCACCACCCGATGGTCGGCTGTGGGCTCTTAACAAATCATCGTAATCGAGATTAGCTTTTACCAAATTATTCTTCATATACTGGGTTATAATTTTCTCTTTAACTAAAGGCTGTAACGAACAGGCACAAACCACTGACCTCCAAGAAAATAACGATTTCTGGATTTCAGGATCCGATTTTACGATTTCGTATACTTTTCTGGTCAGTTGTACGTCTGATAAGGCATCATGCAATGGGGATCTAGGCTCTTTAATATATTTTTCATTTAATTTGTCAAGACTGTAACTTTCAAGTCCCGGGTAAACCTTTTTATATACCAGATAGGTATCGATAAAGCCCTTAATAGCGGAGGAAAATTCCTCCATCATTTCGTTACGATATACAGCATGATATAAAACTTTACAATCGAAGTTCTTAATATTATGTCCAACAAGTTCGGAACCATTTCCATCCGCAGATATGAAACGACAGAATTCTTCCAAGGCCTCTTTAACACCTACACAAACTACCTCCTCCTCTCCGCTTCTCATAACACCATCTTTATACGTTATTCCATTTACTTTGGATGCCCCCAACAAAATCTTTCTTTTTGGACGAACGTACATTTCAAACTTTTCTTCACCCCGAACTGCGCCTATTTGTATAATACAACATGTAACCGAACACAATTTGGCGACCTATTCGGCTAGCGACCTATTCGACCGATCCAGCTGGCAACCTGTTCGTTGGCAACCTGTTCAGAATAAATTCAACAGTCGCCCAAACTCAACTATTTTTATCAACCAATCAAATCCAACGTTACGTCTATCAAATGAAAGTAGAATACATGTATATTATTATTTATCCATTCCTTTAGCTCAGAATAGAGATGTAATTTCTCATTATCTTACAAAATTCTGGACATCCAACTAAATATATTCCGAAAGTTAATTAAATAAGCTTTCCAAATATTATTATTAAACGTCGGCACAGTCATTAAAGGGGTGCACTCTCATCCTAAACATGGCCAATTTTAAAAAAAAAATTAAAGGGAAAGACCGTTAATATCCCGTGTCAAAATTCAGACCATCCTACTAAATTCTGAGGATCAAACTAAATATATTCTAAAAGGTAATTGAATAAGCTTTTCCAAATATTATTAGTAAATGTTGGCACAATCATATTAAAGGGGTGCGCTCTCAACCTGAACATAGCCCATTTTTCAATATTTTAAAGTGAAAGAACGGTAATATTCCGAGTCAAAATTCGGATCATCGTACAAAATTATGAGCACCCGGCTATATATATTCTGAAAGGTAATTGAATAAGATTTCTAAATATTATTAGTAAAAGTTGGCACAATCATATTAAAGGGGTGCGCTCTCATCCTAAACGTCACCAATTTTTCAATATTTTAAAGTGAAAGAACGGAAATTGGCTATGTTCAGGTTGAGAGCGCGCCCCTTTAATATGATTGTGCCAACTTTTACTAATAATATACTATTCAAAAAAAGTAGGGGATATTTGATTTTGGGGGCATAATACTAAAATATGCAAATGACTACGAAAAAAGTCACTATAGAATCTAACAGAAGAAACATTTCCAGTTACATGTGACGCCCAAACGCACCAATAGCTACCGCATGGAATGCAGGTGATGCCTGGGATCATCATGGGGGTCCAACCCAAGATTTGCACGACTCTGACTTTGAATGTTACAGTCATTGTGGCATTGAATTCCAGGGTGGAAACATCAGTTTAATTGTTTTAGTGACCAGAAAACAAATTTTGATATGCGTCGGCTTACCCAAAATACAAGGTTACGTGCCCTTGGCATGCTACAGATCGGCACAACACAGGCGGTTGTGGCGCGGACGATGAATGTTTCTCAGTCTGTCATAAGCAGGCTATGGTCCAGATACCGTGATACACAATCTGTACAGGACAGACCACGCTCAGGTCGACCAAGGGCGACAACTCAAGCCCAGGATCGATTTATCCGTACCTTGGCCTTGAGAAATCGTGTCATCACAGCAAATCAGATCAGCGCTCGTCTTCAAACAGACACTGGTGTGAGAGTGAGTGGCCAGACGATTCGGAATCGACTGCATAGGGGTCACCTTCGCGCCCGACGTCCTCGCGTGATCCCTTGTTTGAGAGATCATCACATTCAGGCAAGACGTCGTTGGTGTAGGGATCGTCAACACTGGGATAATCGACGCTGGAGCAATGTGATGTTTTCAGATGAGTCAAGGTTCACTGTTGATTTTTTGGACAGACGTAGGAGGGTGTGGCGTCGTCGAAACGAGCGCTTCCAAGACGTTAACGTCATCAGACATGATCGATTTGGGGGTGGTTCTGTTATGGTGTGGGGAGGCATCACTGTTGCTGGAAGAACGGCTTTACATGTTGTTGCAGGGCGTGTTACAGGCCAGTACTACCGGGACAACATCTTGGCAGTCCATGTTGTGCCGTTCGCACGACGTCATGGCCCCCGTTTCATCTTCCAGGATGACAACGCAAGATGTCACAGGGCCAGGATCGTTACAGGTTACCTCCAACAACAGAACATCACCACATTACCTTGGCCAGCATTGAGTCCCGACCTCTCCCCCATCGAGCATGTCTGGGACATGCTTGGACAGAGGTTACGTCAACGTCAACAACGTCCTGCCAATGTCCAAGAACTTGCTGCTGCGTTGCAACAGGAATGGGACAATCTGGACCAAAATGACCTTAGACGTCTCATTAGGAGTATGCCACGTCGGATCAATGCTTGTTTGGCAAACAGAGGAGGATTTACCCGTTACTGACTTGGTTGTGATGCTGTGGTAACTTTGCTGTTTGACCCCGGGTATCATTTTACCCTTATAATGGTCAGTCTGTGCCTTACTTAGTCTAACGATCATTTGGAATAAATCGATGAATGTGAACTTCATTTCATTTTGTCATTTGTTTCTTCGTCAGTTTCATTAGGTGACTTTAATAACACTTAAAAATCAAATATCCCCTACTTTTTTTGAATAGTATATTTGTAAAGCTTATTCTATTACCTTTCAGAATATATATAGCTGGATGCTCAGAATTTTGTACGATGATCCGAATTTCGACTTCGAAACAAATACCGGCCTATCTTTACGTTTAGAATATTGAAAAATTGGCTATGTTCAGAATATATATAGATGGATGCTCAGAATTTTGTACGATGGTCAGAATTTTTACTCGGAATATTATCGTTCTTTCACTTTAAAATATTGAAAAATTGGCGACGTTTAGGATGAGAGCGAGCGCACCCCTTTAATATGATTGTGCCAACTTTAACTAATAATATTTATGAAGCTTATTCAATTACCTTTCAGAATATTTATAGCTGGATGTTCAGAATTTTGTACGATGATACTAATTTTGACTCGGAATATTATCGTTCTTTCACTTTAAAATATTGAATAATTGGCGACGTTTAGGATTAGAGCGCACCCCTTTAATATGATTGTGCCAACTTTTACTAATATTATTTAGAAAGCTTATTCAATAACATTTCAGAATATATATAGCTGGATGCCTAGAATTGTGTACGATGATCCGAATTTCGACTTCGAAAAAAATACCGGCCTATCTTTGCATTTAGAATATTGAAAAAAGGGCTATGTTCAGGTTGAGAGCGCGCCCCTTTAAGATGATTGTGCCAACTTTTACTAATAATATTTGGAAAGCTTATTCAATTACCTTTCAGAATATATATAGCTAGATGCTCAGAATTTTGTACGATGGTCCGAATTTTGACTCGGAATATTACCGTTCTTTCACTTTAAAATATTGAAAAATTGTCGACGTTTAGGATGAGAGCGCATCCCTTTAATATGATTGTGCCATATTTTACTCAGTATATTTGGAAAGCTTATTTAATCACCTTTTAGAATATATATAGCTGGATGCTCAGAATTTTGTACGATGGTCCGAATTTTGACTCGGAATATTACCGTTCTTTCACTTTTAAAAATATTTAAAAATAGACGATGTTTAGGATGAGAGCGCACCCCTTTAATATGATTGTGCCAACTTTTACTGATAATATTTAGAAAGCTTATTCAATTACCTTTCAGATTATATATAGCTGGATTCTCATAATTTTGTACAATGATCCGAATTTCGACTTCGAAAAAAATACCGGCCTATCTTTGCATTTAGAATATTGAAAAAAGGGCTATGTTCAGGTTGAGAGCGCGCCCCTTTAATATGATTGTGCCAACTTTTACTAATAATATTTGGAAAGCTTATTCAATTACCTTTTAGAATATATATAGCTAGATGCTCAGAATTTTGTTTGTACGATGGTCCGAATTTTGACTCAGAATATTACCGTTCTTTCACTTTAAAATATTGAAAAATTGTCGACGTTTAGGATGAGAGCGCACCCCTTTAATATGATTGTGCCATATTTTACTAAGTATATTTGGAAAGCTTATTTAATCACCTTTTAGAATATATATAGCTGGATGCTCAGAATTTTGTACGATGGTCCGAATTTTGACTCGGAATATTACCGTTCTTTCACTTTAAAATATTGAAAAATTGGCGACGTTTAGGATGAGAGCGCACCCCTTTCATATGATTGTGCCAACTTTTACTAATAATCTTTAGAAAGCTTGTTCAATTATCGTTCAGAATATATATAGCTACATGCTCAGAATTTTGTATGATGATCCGAATTTTGACTTCGAAAAAAAATACAGGTCTATCTTTACATTTAGAATATTGAAAAATTGGCTTTATTCAGGTTGAGAGCGCGCCCCATTAATATGATTGTGCCAACTTTTACTAATAATATTTGGAAAGCTTATTCAATCACCTTTCAGAATATGTATAGCTGGATGCTCAGAATTTTGTACGATGGTTCTAATTTTGACTCGGAATATTACCGTTCTTTCACTTTAAAAATATTGAAAAATGGACGACGTTTAGGATGAGAGCGCACCCCTTTAATATAATTGTGCCAACTTTTACTAATAATATTTAGAAAGCTTATTCAATTACCTTTCAGAATATATATAGCTGGATTCTCAGAATTTTGTACAATGATCCGAATTTCGACTTCGAAAAAAATACCGGCCTATCTTTGCATTTAGAATATTGAAAAATTGATTATGTTCAGGTTGAGAGCGCGCCCCTTTAATATGATTGTGCCAACTTCTACTAATAATATTTGGAAAGCTTATTCAATTACCTTTTAGAATATATACTATTCAAAAAATGTAGGGGATATTTGATTTTTAAGTGTTATTAAAGTCACCTAATGAAACTGACGAAGAAACAAATGACAAAATGAAATGAAGTTCACATTCATCGATTTATTCCAAATGATCGTTAGACTAAGTAAGGCACAGACTGACCATTATAAGGGTAAAATGATACCCGGGGTCAAACAGCAAAGTTACCACAGCATCACAACCAAGTCAGTAACGGGTAAATCCTCCTCTGTTTGCCAAACAAGCATTGATCCGACGTGGCATACTCCTAATGAGACGTCTAAGGTCATTTTGGTCCAGATTGTCCCATTCCTGTTGCAACGCAGCAGCAAGTTCTTGGACATTGGCAGGACGTTGTTGACGTTAACG